TGATGTCCACTTGTGTACATGGCCACAGACCACCATAGTCTCAGTTTGTCGCTCATCAATGTGCAGGCTGTGCCTCGTTCGATTGTGCGGAAGTTCAGTGCAGCTGCACGCGCCTCTTTTTTCTTTAAATTTTTACTTCTCTCTGTTCTCGCAACTGGTCTCCGCGGTCGTCCCATTCCATGGGTGTGGGCGGCCTCTCGTGTTTGTCGGATATGTTGAGGTTCTCTGATGCGTACACACGCCTGATATATATATATTTATATATATATATATATATATATACGTATATGTATATATATATATCCGCACACACACACACACACACACACTGCACACATCGACGTGCTCCCACCAACACACCCTCACCCTCACCCACGTGTTCAGAAACCATACTTGACTTGGTATATTGAATAGTCCAACTTACGAACACACGAATAGACGTGCGCGCATATATATGATGTTATGTATCGACAATGTCTTATTCTCAATCTGAAACTGAATCGGCACACTGACAGGACAGAAAACTGCTCAAGCGAAAGAAGAGCAAATGGGACGACCGCTCGAACGGCAACGACAATAAGAAGACTGTATTCACCATCATGAAGGCTTTCATTGCCTCGGGCATTCTGTTCTTGCCTGGGGGTGTGGCTAAGGCTGGCTGGTTGCTGGCTATACTGATCCTGCTGTTGCTGGGAAGTAAGTGCATATATATAGTGTGGGTATTTATCGGGTGTGGTTGTAGAGTAGGGTTTAGCATGTCGGGAAGTCGTTATCTCATGCTACCGTATAGGCCTGTACTGACATTTCCTCTGTGGGGGTTTATAGTGCCTAACAGCATAGCTAATACTGGAAGACTTCCAGACATATGTATTCTCATATTATTGTGAGGTGAGTGCGTATCTATATATATATATATATAAGACCACGTCCTGTGTGCTTTGCTATCATATACACAGCTAACCCACGTGTACGCTACACCCACGTATACCCTGCGCAGGTCTGTCGCTGTGGTGCATGCTGCTACTACTGGACGCCAAGAACAAACTTGTCAGTGAGGGCGTCAAAGTGCTTAGTTTCGGCGATGTGGCCAAGCACTCGTACGGCAAATGGGGCAGGCGTGCGGTGGACACGTCCATCTTATTTGCTCAGATGGGCTTCTGCTGTGCTTATTTGGCGTTTGTGGGCGAGAATCTGCACAGTGTGCTGTACTCTGTGTTTGACTGCTGGTATGTGACGGAATAAGCATGTGGCATGACGGAATAAGCAGTGCTGGAGTGTAGGCCGTTCGTAGTGTACATATACTGTTATATCTCATTGAAGCAAGGTGTCTGTCCGTGCGTGAAATGGTGTAATTGCGCATGTACTTCTAATTAGGTGTCCTATTCCTTCATCTGTATCCGTTTACCTTCTGAAAATTGCTGGGTTTTATTATGCCACAGTCCATGCCTATATGTATCTTGATGTGCGTTAGAAAGATATACTCCGATGGCTGTATTACTCTCCTGTACGAGTGTGCCTCTGACGTTGATTGTCGCTGCTTGTGCCCAGAGGCTGGGCTATAAGTGTTTAGATAGTAATTTATTGGCATCGCTTGTATTCATATTTTATATTTATATATATGTATATATCATATATATATATATATATATATATTATATGTGCATATCTCCATAGACCACCACAGTCATCCGTCTCATACACCTCTTTTGCTTTGTCACCAGGGATGTTCCTCAGCCCCTGATCATGCTGCTGCTGACCCCCATCATCATCCCTATGGTGTGGGTAAGGAAGCTGAAGTACTACGCTGTGACTAACATCATCGCTGATGTCCTGATTGTGGCGCCTCTGGTGTATCTGCTGTGGTACGAGGCTGATCTGGTTATGGAGCGTGGCCTAGGACCGGATGTAAGTCTCGCGCGATGGTGCTCGCATGTTTTATTCTATTATTCTCCCAATGGCTTGATATGTAGTACCTCCGCGCAAGTCCAAGTTCACGTACAGTACGTTGTACCTTTCCTCTGGCTTGTCTCTCTGTGTGTGGACACGCGTACCTCTGAGAGTTTGGCTATCGTTCTCGGTACCGGAACACGTGCAAAGCTTCACACTTTCCACCAGCGCAACACGCTCCTAGGCCCGATTGCGCAGCGTTTCTATACACCTTTGTCTTTCGGCCGGGGCTGCCACACCACCACCACTCCTCTCTCGTCCTCATACGCAACATTCTTTTCTACCTTCCCTTAACTTCCGCTGCCTCTGCCTGTCCACTCAGATCGTGGCCTGTAAGTGGGAGACGGCCCTGCCCTTCTTCGGGACCACCGTGTACGCGCTCGAGGGCATCTCCATGATCATCCCCATTGAACAGGCCATGAAGCGACCGCAAGACCTCCCGCGGGTGTTGACAGGCTGTATGGTGTTTATTGTATCGCTCATGATCGTGATCGGTGTCAGCGGATACCTGACCTTTGGCAGTGACACCAAGGCGATCATCACCCTGAATCTGGGCGACCCCACGGAGGGCGACAACAAGGTATGGGATGGTTGTGTCGCGTCGCTCGTTATAGCTGAGTGTTCCTTCTACAAGCTATAGAGTTTATATATATATATATATATATATATATATTTAACCTATGTGGAGCATGATTTGGGCAGGTTGTATCTGGCTTGTACCATGCCAACTGTGAATGCTATTGGCTTGGGTGGGTATGTGTTTTTGGGATGTGGCATTGTGGGTAACCTGCCGTATCATGATGACTGTTAAGGGGGGACAATTACACATGACGCCTTGGAGTTCTGTACGCTTGTGTGTGTAGTAGGTGTACATCTGATGCCTGTGGGTCGGGTTGCTCATTCTTTCTTGGGCATGGCCAGGCACAAATCGTTTCATGTTCGCATCAGGCGGGTGTGGTAGGTACTGCAGTGAACGTGTGTGGTTCGTATTCCTCATTTGGGCACCTGCTTGCATGGTAAAACTCCGTGTTTGGTTGCTGTCCACAGTTGTCTATTGCTTTTCAGCTCAATTTGCAAACACTCCCAATTAGTACCAAGTGATTGATCTTTTAAGCACGTATTCGTATCGGTTTGGACTGGCGGTGTATGCAGTTCCATTCCATGTCGCTGCCAGAGGTCGCGTGCCCTGCGCATGGCTACTGTAGTCTTTCGCTCACGCACTCATCTGTCTGTTGGTTACACAGGTTGTAGTGCAATTAAGCTGGTATATGCAGCTCTATTCCATATCGCTGCTCGCATTGTTGTTGTGGTCTTTCGCCCACACACTCTTCTGTCTGTTGGTTACACAGGTTGTAGATGTAATTAAGCTGGCCTACTGTTTGGCCATCATCTTTACGTACCCCCTGATGAAATTCCCGGCTGTCAAGGTACGGGGTGTTGATAATTGAGTATAAGGTGATAGCCCACCCACGAGGATGTGCATGTATACCTCTCGTCGCAGCACAGCTTGTGAATCCAACTAGTGAGGGTGACTGGATCTGAACCGTTAATAGATACAGTGTCGGTCAACGTAAACGTATACGACGCTAGTATCGTAGTGACAGTGTCTATTGGGTCTTGAGTACAAGCGGTTGCGCAACGTTTGATTAGCACACGCAGTTACAATTCGGGTTGCTGTTGCAATCAGCGAGAATACGTCTGCGCTTGTGAATTGTGTGCTCGCCCGAGCAGACACTTCTTCACGAAGTCATAGCCGTCCTGTACTCGTTTGCAAATGGTAAATCACGAAGACATAGTGTCCTGCACGCATTAGTATATGTCCTGGGTCATCCTGATCAATGGCTGTGTGTGGTTGGACATGTCACACTCCCTAGCAGACTATGGTTCCTTAGCAGCAGCACTTAGCATTACAGCATGCATATCACACGCACGAATCTCTCAATACTGTATCACCTCATCGGTGCTTGCGGATGCGCACATGCTTCCAACGCTTGAATGTCTGTGTAGACATGCATGACAGCAACAACCACCCGCAGGTGGCTATAAAGTCCTGCTCACTATTCGGAGATGAATGGACGTGTACTGAATCGGCTCACTCTCCTTTCTGACACCTCTTATCGCAGATTGTGGAGAGGAATCTGTTCAAAGACAGAAGGTCTGGCAAGAAATGGGCCAAGAACTTTGTGCGTATGAGCATGGTCTTCCTGTGCCTGGGTGTCTCGATTGCCGGCGCTGACAAGGTGAGCGTGCTCTACTGTTCCATACATGACAATTGAGCTATACAAGACTCAAAATTTATATTTTGACCTATATATATATTTATATATATATATATATATCAATGTTCCACAAGGTGAACCGTTTCTTTAGACGGTCGGCCGCCAGTATACTACAGTGTGAATATGCCGTAGTCGCTACACCTACCTGCAAGTTGTATAGGGCTCTGTGCTAAGTACATCGCATGGTGATGTACCACATACTCTCTATGTGGGAGGGGGGGCTCGTGTGTGTGAGAGAGAGTGTGTTTGTGTTTGTGTGTGAGTGTGAGTGAGGGAGAGTGCGCGTGAGAGAGAGAGAGAGTGCGTGCGTGTGTGTGTGTTTGTCTGTGTGTGTGAGTGACGGAGGGAGAGTGCGCGTGCGTGTGTGTGTGTTGTGGTAGCAAATGGTGCGAGTAGTAGTAACCGCTGCATGTATGGCCAGATTGCACAGAGTCGTCCGAGTCCTCTCATCTACTCATCTACTCAGTCAGTTGCTCACGCAGTTGCCACTCCCACATTCCTGGGAGCACATTGCGAGTGGGTGGCCGCATATTTCCGCATACACACATTGCTCAGACTCAGAACTCAATGCGTCTCTATACTGTGCAACCTGTACCTGTCCATATTTTTGTCCTGCACCTGTCCATATTTTTGTCCTGCAATTGTCCATATTTTTGTCCTGCAATTGTCCATATTTTTGTCCTGCACCTGTCCCTTTTGGGATAACCAGGCCTTTACTAACTCGCTTGCACCCATCTTCCATACCTGCACAGATCGATAACTTCGTTGCTATCGTGGGAGGGCTCACATGCGTGCCTCTGGCCTTCATCTTCCCTTCACTATTCCACTACAAGGTAATTGATTGTAACGCGTATTGGGGACTACTGTTCAACTGAGCATTGTGACTGGATGACCTAAACCTTTACCGTTTGTGTGCTTGCTGTTATTTGTTTCTATTGTGTAGCAATGTCTATGTGATAGTGGTTCTACTTTGTAAGTGTACAATCTATGAGGGAAGGAAGTTATGGACTTGTCGGTCGAGACGACCGGCTATTACTATCTATGTGTAAACGTTGTTAGTTTGTGACTTCTCACACTACGGGGACGAAGAAAAAGTGGGTCTCTCGGGAGAAAACTCCCAGTTTTCATGCTCTTTCATATCTGAGAATTGATTTCTCCATAATCCCTGGTCACTTGTATGAATCCAATTCGAACTTGGTTTGGGTGAAGGCAGGGTTGTATGTCATTCCTAACTCTCAGTAGATGTATCATATCCTCCACCCTGCACCTGTTGCAGACCTCTGCCGATTACGCACTGGAACCGTATGTTCTTGTTTTTTTTCATCACAACTATTCACTTTATCCATTTCCAGATCTGCTGCAACTCTCCCAACAGCCCGGCGTTCTTCAACTACAGCTACAACACACTCAAGATGTATTCATGGGCGGATGTGTTTATCTTCATCTTTGGTGTTTTGTCTATGATCCTGTCTACCGGTCTGGCGATTGGGGAGTGGATCGATGCCCCACCAAAGGCCGAGGAGATCTGCCATCTGAATACCACCATCCCGTACGACCACTTTGAACTCTGAGAAGGTCTCTAACTATGCATTCACCGTGTTTCCGAACCCATAACTTTGAAGGATAGCAAAGTAAATGTAGTTTTAAATTAGAGGGCAGAAGCCCTCGTACATGGAAATTCTCGTAGAGCCTCAAGGATCATCCCTTTAGGGATGGGCCCGATAAATTTGACGGGTAGTATAGTGAATGTAATTTCAATCTGATCTTATTATCTGATCCTTTCGGAATTCGCGGCGATTTATTGAGTCGACTTAATTTATGTTGTCAATTCGCTGCGTTGTATGGGTAGATCGCATATGCAAAACACTTTTGCGATAACATATCGGCAGTGCCAAATAGCCGCCAAGTTGGTCCGAAGGTGAAATAGAAGCCTTCGGCCGAAGTTGTTGTTCGTTTACTATTAAATTAGATGTACGTCTTTGAATCAATGGGCTCTCGTCGTACTCTTTGTAGCGTGTTTCTGGCGCACAGTCACGTTTGTGCAAGTGATTTACGAACACTACAAATCAATTTTGAATTAGCTTCCCCCCTCCTCCCCGCATATGAAGAGTATAAGAGACCAACACCACACACACACAAGTTCGAATAGTCTTCAAAGCAAGTTGTCCCAAATTGCTGATGCGCCATCTGTACGTTAAAGACTTTCCGAAGGTTGAGTTGTACATATATGTACTGGTTGCCATAGCAATAGTCACAGCTTTTCGTGCAATTGGGAAATGCCACATGTCTCAAGTGCGTGCAACTATTATGCACAATAGTATGTGGTTTCTAAGATGTCTGTCGCCACATCATGTCTTGTCATGTACGGAATTGAATAAGAGTGCCACACATCCTCACGAAACATGAGAAACGGAGACCAACCTGATTATTTTTCGCCATAGGATATGAATAGTAGCTACTGCAGCCAGGGCATGGTTCATAATTCTCTGGACCGAATGATGAGCAAGCCTCGAACGCCAATTTCTACAAACATTTGACCCTGCATTCATTCTGCGTACACATTCGGAATCGGCAATTGCAGGCTTAAAGCCGATATCTAACACGCTCGAGATGTGCGGCGAGTTCATTTGCACGAAAAGCTGTGAAAATCGATATGTAAATGAGTATCCCATTCCTGCAAGCGATGAAAATGTGCAGACTGCATAGCTTACAGAATAAGACCTTCTTGTTCGTCACTTCTGACTGGAAGCCTTATCACACGCGGCCCGTGGGATGTCCTTTGGAATGTCAATTGGAAGTGTACGACTATCACCTGTACCAATGGGACTTTGCGCAAGACACGCTACAAAGTATTCATGAGCATACGAACGCGTACAAAGCTGACGAAACAATGACGATCATTGTTGAATAATAACTCGGAAAGTCAGACTGGAAAATTCTTGTTTTGACTTTAGAGACCAGTTTCATGACTGTGGCACAGGCGAAATACTATTGCGACAGTCACTTGCACTTGTCACCTAACAACCGGCGCAAGGAAATGACAATTTCTAAATTGACACCGACGAAACCGACGTCGGTATATACATGGGCCGATGGAATCGAACTTAATATTTATTCACATCGCTATCCTTTTGAACATGCTTGTGATGAAGCTGCAGCTACTTGGCATTCAAAGTGAGCGTAAGATACGGTAGTTTTTGGACAACAGATGTCCCCGGCCTATATGGGGACAGAGATCCACTTCCCGATCGCTAGTAAGACGGTAAAATAATACCAAATGGAAATCGCAAACGATGGTAATAAGCACGCCCATTCACGACTATATGAGCACGTTGTAGTCTCCTATTATAGATAATTAACAGAAACGCTCGTGTCTCGTGGTTGAAATTTATAAACACTTGTACAAAAACTGGTTTTTATCGTTGCCATGGAAACCAGCTCTGTCATCAATTACATATCCGTATATATACACATACGCACTGTCAGACATATGTACAATATAAATACATAGGTTGCTGTTTTTTTAGAACGCTATGATACATATATGCATATACATACAAATATTCGCATAGTTTATACGTAAATACCATGTATACATGTATCACGTTTATCGTGAAGATTTATTAACTCTGAGTACTACATATTCACGGGTACAGTTCTGACGGTCTGAACATCGCAACGGAATAATCACGTAGCGTTATTCACCACAAGAACTTTTTGAACTGGATTAAAAGCAATTTGCAAACTTACATGATACACCTTCTATTGTAAAATGAAGACAATAGCCAACATACGCCAGATACGGCAACGCGTCGTACCTTCCATTCTACAAAAAAGTATGACATGCGTATGAGTGTATGTGCATCTGTGTGTATATATGCATATATATATATATATATATATATTATTAG